TGGTGTGATGGGCCACGCCGGGAAGAGGACTGGGGGCGGTCGCCCCGCAACCCACTGCATCCTCCACGACACCGCCTTGGCGAAATTCTCCCATTTACTAATCTGAGCATTCAGTAACTCGGGGACGGGTTATTAAATTGGATGGCCGGTGTCTTCCGGGAGCTGTAACCAAGCCTTTTCAAGAGGCTGCTGCGGATCCTCGTGAAGCGTCAGACCACACGCTTGTCCCCGGCTGTGGGGGAGTAACGCGGCGCTGGGCGGACAACAGGCCTCACGAAACCCACGTGCTTATGTAGGCCTTTGCTGTTCAGCAGCATCCCACGAAATCTTGTGCCCCGAATGCATCCACAAATGTAATTGAGTGAATGAATGAGTGGATGAATGAATAATTTGAGTTGTCCTCTGCACGATTCCATGAAGTAGATTATTATCCCCTTCCTTTCTTTCCCTCCCTGGCCCTCTTCTATAGCTGGGAAAAGTGAGGATTGCATAGATGACTTGTTCAAGGTCGTTATCTCCTTATTCCTAGTCCATCCCGCTCGCTCCAATTCTGGGTTGAGTAACAGGTAGACGCTGGGCAAAGGTGGAAGTGGCAGTGAGATAAACTCGCCTACCCAGGCTTGCCCCCTGCGGCGAACAGCTCTTTGTGGTTTTGGAATGCTTTTTATAAGGAAGCATTCTCAGCTGCCAGCAACTCAGAGAATCCCTCTGTACTGAGGAGGTGCTTCCACTGATGTAATTAGGGCAGATCTTGCCCTGCGCTCTTCTAACCTCTGGACGTTGAAGCAGCCATTTGAAAGGGTCATTGATGCCTGATGTGGAACAGGTATTTGGCCTCAGGTTACTCTTTCTAGCTTCTTGCCTTCACCGTAGATCCTTTTGAATTGAAGCAAAGGTTTGGAAAGTGTAGGAAATGTAATCCTGCTGGCTGTGTGTCTGCTTTGAGATGGCTTGGTGTGACTTACATTTAGGAGAGGCTGGGAAAGGGAAAGAGCTGGGAAAGGAGGCCATTTTCTCTGTGTTTGGCAGGAAGAACTGTATGGGTCTGTGGTGGTTTGCTGATGACTAGCCCAGGACAAAGATAATTGCAGCTGTACCCTAAAAGAGTGATCAAATGGTTAAACTTGTAATCTCTTTAAAGTAGCAGACCCTATTTCAAGATTTTGTTGTTGTTGATTTATTTTTAGTAATCTCTACATCCAACGTGGGGCTGCAAGTCAAGGACCCCGAGATCAAGAGTTGCATGCTCCACCGACTGATCAGCCAGGCACCCCCTATGTCACTTTCTAAGTAAATGTTGGTAGCGTTAGTTTAAAAAAAAAAAAAATCCTATTTAAAAGATTAGTATCTGTTATGGGCATCACAAATGATTATATTAAACAAGACTAAAAGCAGAAATCTGAATCGTGAAGACCATTGTGAATAATATAAAAAACCTAAATATATTAAATTCTTCAGAGCTTTAAATGATAGTAGGGTTTATAAACTCTTGAATCGTTTCAGGAGGGAACTAGTGAGAACTGAGTTTCTCCATGCAGTCTTACTCCTGGGAGAGGATGAGGTCCACACCACATATCACACCATCCACCCCACACTTGGGAATATCCTAGGCTATGCTTTTATTTAATGGGGAAGTTCTCCTGAGTGGAACTGCTTTTCTTCTTGGGGACCTATTTGTGTATCCAACAGGAGGCACTCCATCACAAGGGGAAATAATAATTGCAGTGAAACAGCCAGTAGCTTTTCAGCATGGGAGATGAGGCTTGCACTTGCCAGTGACTCAGCCTTTTATTGGGGAGCCATTCCTCCCCTTATAGTTAGGGAGGAAATGGTAATGGAGTCTACTAGGACTTGTCCTGAGGTTCAGTGATGAGATTTGATGAGATTTGTCATCTTTTCCCCTGTGGGTAGTGATGGGTTTCCTGGTGATTAATCCTCCCCTCCTCCATCAGCGTAGTTCTTATTGGCCTCATTCTCAGTTGAACGACTGGCAGAATTCACTTCACATTGCATTAATTACTGTTGGCAACCTCAGCATGAGGCAATACCCAGGAAAGTTTGTGCTGAATTTCAAAGAGGGCCTTGTAGCCTCATGGAGGAAAACACTACATAAAGGCCCATCTCCCTTTTAAAGTGGGAAGGGGGGATAATCTTCCACGAACTAAGAAGATTAATTGTTGGGGTGGTTGGGGCAACATAACTTGATTACTACGCCTTAATAACTACTGTATGAGGAGAGATTTGTGTCTAAATGAGTCAGACTGCACAGCATTTGCTCTTTCTGCTTTCTCCAGGGAGTGGCTTCTCCTGAACTTGGTCTAACAGTTGACCTAAGTGTGTACAGGTTGGCACTTGACTATAGCAGAAAGGCACTGTGGATTAAGAGACTGATGTGATTTCCACTACATAGTGAAAATACAATTTCATTCAACGTACTGAACTTTTAATCAGCATCCTCTAAGAGCTCTTGCTGTGTCCTGATTGTTGGGTTTCAAATTGTTTTCCCGTAGACAAGAGGTTAGGTCTGAAATATATTTACTAGTATTGGGCAGAAGTGACTGTTTTAACTAAAATACAAACAGATCCTTAGGGTTTAGAATAATATGGAGGTAGCTAGAGATGGAGGTTATGAGTTGGATTTTGGAGTCACACAGCTTGGGTTTTAATCTCTCATTTACAGCTGTGACCTTGGATGATTTGCTTAATCCCTCTAGTCTTTATTTTCCTCATCTGGTAAAATGGGTTGTAAGGATTATAATCTCAGGATTGTCATGAAGACTAAATACAACGTATACAAAATAATTTGTATAGTGCTTGACAGATGGTAAGCCCTCCATAAATATTGGTTATTATTTAGTAAGAGATTCCAAGTTTTTAAGGATCCTTTTCTTGAAAGAATTGAAGCAGAAATAAGTTCTTAAAATGGGCTTAACACAGCATTCTGGGGTTTAGGATAAGCAGCACAGATGGCATAGGTTAGCTCCCTGACAATACATTTAGGTGTTGGGTTAGATGAATTATTGGGGAACCACTGGAAAGTACATTGTCAACTATAACATAAATCAATATATTTTGTCTTCTGTAAAGGTGGAATATTGTCTTTGTTTTCTAGGGTATACAAACTAGTTAAATTTAGATGTGAGAAAACTCTGGTTCCATAGTGGACCCGATTGGCTTATCACTTTGAATTTATGATTCCCAGATGCTGGCTATGAGTTTGACATCTGCTTCACCTCCGTGCAGAAGAGAGCAATTCGGACTCTCTGGACAGTGCTGGATGCCATTGACCAAATGTGGCTGCCTGTAGTGAGGACTTGGCGCCTCAATGAGCGGCACTATGGGGGTCTGACTGGCCTTAATAAAGCAGAAACTGCTGCCAAGCATGGTGAGGCCCAAGTAAAGATCTGGAGGCGCTCCTATGATGTCCCGCCACCTCCGATGGAACCTGACCATCCCTTCTACAGCAACATCAGTAAGGTATGGACAAATGGGGGTTTGGCTCATTCTGCCTAGGACCAGGGTGTTAGAACCTGGGCCTCACTCTTTTTTAGCTTTTAGTAGTGTCTGCTTGGTCCTATTGAGTTTTTTAATTTATGCGAGTTAATTGTTATTCACCTTCTCCAAGGAATGGCCTTCACTTGTTAAAAAGATTTAGTTGATACTTGTTTACCTAAAAAGAAATTATATCTTCTTTTTTGTATCTCCATTGCGATACCTTATAAAACCCATCCATAGTCGTAGGGCCTTTTTAAAAAAAATTTTTTTAATGTTTATTTACTTTTGAGAGAGGGAAGGAGGGAGAGGGGGAGAGACAGAGAGAGGGAGACACAGAAATCAAGAGCAGGCTCCAGGCTCTGGTCTGACAGCACAGAGCCCACATGGGGCTCGAACCCCACAAATTGTGAGATCATGGCCTGAGCTGAAGTTGGACACTTAACTGACTGAGCCACCCAGGCGCCCCTTAGAGTTGTAGGGCCTTCTTAAGCCAACTATTAAGATTAAGTGAATTGGGAAGAGCTTTATACCTACCTTTTTTCTTCTAAGTTCTGTTTCATTTGAACTGTTCATTTTCCCAATAGCGGGTAATGGTGGTAGGATGAGCATCAAAATAATTCTTCTCCCTGTGACCAAACTCTCAGCTCCGTTCTGTGTCCTGGTGAAGTACCTTCACCTATCACTTTGATTCATACCTTAGGGGATGAGGAATGGGCAGAACAGATACAACTACTACTAATTGGTGAGCATGGATTTTTATTGTTTAGGATCGCAGGTATGCAGACCTCACTGAAGATCAGCTACCCTCCTGTGAGAGTCTGAAGGACACAATTGCCAGGGCTCTGCCCTTTTGGAATGAAGAAATAGTTCCCCAGATCAAGGAGGGGAAACGGGTCCTGATTGCAGCCCACGGCAACAGCCTTCGGGGCATTGTCAAGCATCTGGAGGGTATGTACGTTTTTCAGGGGAGCCCTCCAGGAGGGACACAGCAAAACTGCCACAAATCGGATTTATTTCATGCAAAAGAGATCTTCAGGGAAAGGCTGGACATATTGATAGTCCCTCAGTTTGCATCTTAAATTGGTTCACCTGAGGGCCTAGAGGCCTAGATGTGCTGATTTTTGTCAGACTGGATGGACTACACAGGACATTTGAGATGTGTATAGTCCTGCTTCACTGTGGGTTTCCAAACCCCACTTTGGGATTGATATCTGCGGTATACCACCTTACATACTTTTTTTCTTTTCAGTGGCTGACAACTAAGTATTGGAGGCATTCTTTGGGTGATTGATCTATAATACAGATTGTTACTGTTACTATAAATATCAGAAGGGGTGTCTTGTTTTAATTCCTACCAAAGTCCTTTGTCACCTGCAGGGGGGACATGGATTCGTGTCTAGCTTGGCTTATCATGGTGTGTATTTCCTTCAGGTCTTTCTGAAGAGGCTATCATGGAGCTGAACCTGCCAACAGGTATTCCCATGGTCTATGAATTGGACAAGAACTTGAAGCCCATCAAGCCCATGCAGTTCCTGGGGGATGAAGAGACCGTGCGTAAAGCCATGGAAGCTGTGGCTGCCCAGGGCAAGGCCAAAAAGTGAAGGCGAGCAGGCAGACTATTTTTCCAAGGACACCCTCCCTACCCATCCCGTTCCTCCACATTTCTTCCCTGCACATGTCACACTGACCACATCTGTAGGCATCTTAAGTTTTAGCTGCAGATGGGGACCAGTGGCTCCTAATTTTGTTTAGCCATTTGTCTCTTGCACCCACTCTCTTCATATAGTCTAGTCAGAATGGCACTTCTGGAGCATGAGTCTTCAGTCCCAAGCTGAGGGAAGACTTTTACCCAAAAGTAGAGAGTTAGTAACTCTGGTGTTTTTGCTACTGTTTATTGAGTTGGGGATAGGAAGGAACCATGCTAAGATGTGACCAATGAGAAGTAAGAGAGCCTATTTGTGTTCCCAGGAGCCAGTCCTGTACTATTCTGTAGTCAGGTGACTGTCTGGGGGGGCTCCAGTCATTCCAGTGAAAGAATCATTTCCCCTCTGACCCCAGAAGAGTTGGCTCCAGAAGACTGGGATCAATTTAAATGTTTTGTGTTGCATCTACTTTTACAAAAAGAAAAAAAAAAAGTGTATATATATATATATATATATGTATATATATATATATATATACACACATATATAAAATAATACAAACCAAAAACCCTTCTGGGGTTTCTAGTTGCGGTTGAAATATTCCCACATGCAGTCATCCCAAAATAAGCCATTCCTCACACCAACGTGGGAGAAGCCCCTTGACTTCTGAGGCCTAGGAGTTTATCCTGCTGTGTGTTTTAGAATCCCTCCCCTGCCTTAATGTTTTATGGCAGTGAAATGCCTCTTGATCACGTCCAAGCGTGTCTTTTACTGTATATGTTTCTGATCATGTTCCAGTTGCTTGGTCCTGCCACCTGGGCCCAGTACTCATTTTGAGCGTAACTATACTAAATCTTTTTTCCAGATCAGTATAATAAAGGAGTGATGTGCAATATCTTCTGTGTGATGTAGTAATCTCTCATTTGAGAAGATCAGCTTGAACATTAAACTGGGTGTGTCTTACTAGGGTTTTCCACCTTAGGTTGGGGAGCTGAAGTGTGGGGGTGGGCAGGTCTTCCTGGCTGAGCCCTCCATTCCTGTTGCCTCTATAGCACTTGCTCAGTGTGCTGGCTGAATACTCCTTGAGTGGTCAAATTCTCAAACTCCATTATGCCTTCTTTTGAGTAAGGTAAAGGCTTGTTTACCTTAAAAAAGCTAACCTTTTTCTATTAGAAATCTGTAAACTTGGTGCCTGGGTGGCTCAGTTAAGCATCTGACTTCAGCTCAGGTCGATTTTGAGGTTTGTGAGTTTGAGCCCCATATCAGGCTCACTGCTGTCAGCCTGATTCAAATCCTTTGTCCTCCTCTCTTTGCCCCTCCCCCTGCTTGTGCTCTCTCTCAAAAATTAAAATCTGTAAACTTGATTCACACTTCATCCTCAAAAACGGCACATAACTGTATAATAAAATGATGCAGAAGAAAAGGACTATTACATTGTATACGTAATCGGGAAGGGACATTGCTCACATTTTCCTTCTCTTTAAAGCTTTTCAGGGGCACCTGGGTGGCGCAGTTGGTTAAGCGTCCGACTTCAGCCAGGTCATGATCTCGCGGTCCGTGAGTTCGAGCCCCGTGTCGGGCTCTGGGCTGATGGCTCAGAGCCTGGAGCCTGTTTCCGATTCTGTGTCTCCCTCTCTCTCTGCCCCTCCCCCGTTCATGCTCTGTCTCTCTCTGTCCCAAAAATAAATAAACGTTGAAAAAAAATTTTTTTTTAAAAATAAAGCTTTTCAAAAGATAATGAACATGAAAGCCTACAAGGCAAGAGAAACCCCATAATACCTTCCTTCTACTAGGAGCAAGTAACACCCTCAGTCTGTTAAGCTCTCATGAAGCTCTTCTATGCCAGCTACATAACCTCTAATCTTGACAAACTCTGAAACGGCTGGTATCCCGAATTTACAGAAGAAATAGACTGAAAGAGATGTAGAAACTTGCCAAATACATACTACTAAGTACTGGAACCCAGATGAAAGATGTTGAACAGAAGTCCTTATCCTAAAATGTAAATACTAATCATCTTGCTTTTCAGGTTTAGTTTTTCACTTGATCTATAACCCTAGGATGGCCTTTAGTAATTTAAGTCTCCAACAGTCTGGTGGAATGTTAAGTTTACTTGGCCTGTAATGAATCTTAAACCAAAAGTTGATAATTTTCTTTGAGGCTCTTCGCCCAAGTCAGACTGGAGCAGCTTAGATCAGAGTCCCTCTATATCCTGACATAGCAGTCTTCAGTCATTGACTAGAACTCTTGTGGCAGGAAAGTAACAGAAAACCAGCATTATTTATCATTACTACCAGAAGGCCAGCAACCACTGTACCTCTAAGACTGCTTACCCAGGGTAGCACATCATAATCACCCATGGAGCTGAAAGAAAAACCCAAACATCTGTTGTGGGTTCACCTCATGAGATTCCAAAGCAGAGCTAGGGTTCTGTTGTTTTTTAAGCTTTATAGGCAATTAAAAATTTTTAATTTTTTTTTTAATGTAGGTCTATTTTTGAGAGCGAGAGAGCGAGCGAATGGGGAAGGGGCAGAGAGACAGGGAGACACAAAATCCAAAGCAGGCTCCAAGCTCTGAGCTGTCAGCACGGAGCCCGACGTGGGGCTCAAACTCATGAACCATGAGATCATGGCCTGACCTAACCGACAGAGCCACCCAGGTGCCTGCCCCACTTCATAGACAATTCTGAGGTTCATCTAACCCAGGCTAAGAACCGCTATTCCAACACAGAGAAATTCTTGTCTTTAGAACCAATTTTAGATTAGTGAATATCACTAAACATCACTATTTAGGCATAGCTGTCAGCTATGAGAACACTCAAAAAAAAAAATTTTTTTTTATGGTGCTTTTGCTATGTGTTAGTCACAATACCAGGTACTGAAGACTCAAAGACAGAATCTTGCCCTAAAACCTCAGGCTAGAAGGGGAGACAGGCTCCTAAACTTAGCTGTGATACAATACAGTGGTCAACAGTGAGAAAACCTAACCTGCTCTGCAGCAGGTCAGAGGAGGCTATTACCCAACTGTTTCAAATGCTCTTCTTTAGGACACTATTACAGCATTTCTTTGTTTACTTATCACCTGTCTTCCCCCATTAGAATTTTTTTTTTAATGTTTACTTATTTTTGAGAGGGAGAAAGAGAAAGCATAAGCAGGGGAGGGGCAGAGAGAGAATTCAAAGCAGGCTCCAGGCTTAACTGTCAGCATACTGCCCAACGCGGGGCTCATTCCAAGAACCACGAGATCATAACCTGAGCTGAAGACACTTAACTGACTGAGACATCTAGGCGCCCCCTGCCCACGTCTAGAATCTAAGCTCTACAAGGAAAGGATTCTATCATGTTCACTGTTTTACCTCTTCCTGAAACACTGGTGGGCAGAATAATTGCCTAACATATTTGAATGAATGATGTCCAACAAGCACTCATAATTAATGAACCAATGTCAATTTGGAGAGCCTCTAATTGCATGTGCAAGATCCTATTCAATATTTGGTAAAAGGAGGCATCAAGGTACAGGACAAAGATTAATGCTCTGCCACTTGGATGTCTGTGTGACTTAAGGCAAGTTAACTGATTTTTCTAAATCTTAGTTTACTTTTCTGTAAAGTGTGGACATAATTAGTACATGCCAGGGCTACTGGGAAGTTCAGAGATAAAATAAGTACAATGGCTAACACTGTAGAGAGAATCAACTGGTAGCATTTACCTGCAAGGTAATGTGGGTGAATCTAACCAAAATTTAAAATGTGCACATTCTTTGACCCAGTACACTCCACTTTTAGGAATCTCTGTTGCCACAGAATCTTAGGCATGCACAAGGATGTATGGTACAGGGATTTTCTCTGCAACACTGCAAAAAAATCTATAAAGCTTAAAATATCCATCAGTAAGGGGACTAAACTATATCAAAATGTCTAGCATAAGGCCTAGAACTTAACAGATACTTTAGAAGGTGATCAAATCTATAATAGTAATATAATAACAACAATAGTGCCATGTACTGGAACTTCTGCATTTCTTCCTCACAATAACCCTATGAGATCATACCATTCCAGACAAGGAAACAGATTTTTAAAAGAAAGTAAACTTGCACTACTATCAATGTCAACATGCTGATTATTTTAGTATACTGTAATTTGCACAATGTCACCATTAGGGGAAAATGGGCAAAGTGTACAAGGGATCTATCTGAATGGTTTCTTAAAACTGCATGTGGAGCTACATTGATCTCAATACTCTTTTCTAATTTAAAAAAACCGAACAGGGTCATTTGGGTAGCTCGGTTGGTTGGGCGTCTGACTCTTGGTTTTGGCTCAGGTCATGAACTCACTCACGTTCGTGAGTTCGAGCCCTGCATCAGGCTCTGGGCTGGTGGTGCAGAGCCTGCTTGGGAATTCTCTGTCTCTCCCTCTCTCAAAAACAAACATTTAAAAAACCCAAAAAACAACCAAACAAACAACCTAACCTATTCTGGCTAGCAGCTAGAGGATACAAACCCAGTCGGGTTGATTCCAGAGTTCACCTGTAACCACTGTCACTACACACAGAAGATGTGTGCAGTGACAGATGCTCCTTGAAGAACATCTCAAGAATTGACATATCTTGAGATGCCTGGGTGGCTCGGTTGAGCATCTGACTCTTGGTTTCAGCTCAGGTCACGATCTCATGGTTTGTGAGATTGAGCCCCACAGTGGGCTCTGTGCTGACAGCTCAGAGTCTGCTTACGAATCTCATTCTCTCTGCCCCTCCCCTGTTCGTGCTCTCTCTCTCTCTCAAACTAAATAAACTTAAAAAATATATAGATTAAAAAAAAAACTGACATTTCTTTCCTTCTATTCTCTCTGCAGCTTTTCCATGCTTAAACCCTCATCTCTTCCTCATCCCCAAACCTGCATGTTCATTCCTGCTTTTGCCCTCTGCTTAAGTTTTTCTGTCTGCCTTGCATATCTTCATTTCACTACCTCAGTTCTTCAATTCCTTTTACTTCACATTACAGATCTTTCCCTGGTCACCTCACGAAAACAGTGCTCTGACCCTCTTTTCAATTCAGATTTAACGTTTCCTGGACTACCCACTAATCAGTAATACTATATTCACCTAATTACTTTCAGAACTACTCACATGCACCCTGCATCACCACGTGTTCTATCATTTTCACTAAACCATAATCTCTCTAAACGAGGGGATGTTTCTAAAGTGCTTGACCCGGTGCCTGGCACATAGGAAGTACTCAATAAGCAGAAGTGCTTAAAAGGAACATAAAAAACGCAAAAATGACTGGAGATGAGGTTTTTTTTTTTAATTTGAGAGCAAGAATCTCAAGCAGGCTCTGAGCTGTCAGCACGGAGCTCAATGCAGGGCTCAAACTGACAAACTGGGAGACTATGACCTGAGCTGAAACCAAGAGTCAGATGCTTAACCGCCTGAGCCACCCAGGTGCCCCATGTCATGATGCTTTTTAGATTCCTTTCCCTACTC